GAGTAAGTCACTACAAATATTTAACAAGAGTCCATCACCTAAAGTAATCTGTGCCTTTGGTAAGCAGTTCATGCCATCAAAAAGTTCTTGATCATTGGAATGTTCTGCTTTCTGGAATGATGAGCAAATGTGCTCATCAGCAATAATCCTATAAGACCGGAAATTTGGGGAAAAGTGAGATTTTTTTTTAATACAAGAAAATGAATAGTCTATACTATATGATTGGGATGTGTACATATATTTAAGAATTAGCTCAGGCCACACAAAAAAAAGGTGCAACCTGGAACACAGGTGAAAAGGTGACTAAGAATAATGGGAGAATCCATCTAAGAAAGAATGAGGTATGTGTTAGCATCACATAGGTATTTTCTACCTTTATGTGAAGTGACCATCTACATACAACACCTACACTACAGTATTACAAACATAATTCCTAACTTGAATAGCTTCCTGCTTGCTCTGGTAGGCAGACTTCAAAAATCCATTGTAATGATTTGCAGAATTGGAAAGAATATCTCCCCTTAAAATTTCAGGGTTTTGCTAAAAGTGCCACTAGTGTGAGTGCCACTAACAACTTCGTTTATGTTCCTTCATAGCTTAGAGTATATGCTCTTCAGGCAATCACTGATAACGGAAAAATTACTGGAAATCTATTTCTGGCTAGTTCACTTAAAGTCTTCCTTCCATCATCCATTGCACACATAGATTCTTCTCAGTAGCAATTTTCCATGACTAAGAAATGGTTGGATATGAACATCCACTGGACACATAGCCTTGGTGAATGAAGGCAGATATACCGGTATGTGTCCCATGATAATGTTGCAGGATCCAATCTGGGTCAGTCACCAGGACCAGAGGATCGATCCAGATTGGGGTCCTGCAGCATAGCCGTGGTCAGTGATCAGTTTACACATACCGTACCTATCAATGAGATACCAACCTCCACAAGATTGTAATCAGGCAAATGATTCACACTAATGGATGAGACTACATAGAATCCTTTGTTAATCTCTAGCTTTATTAATTACAATATAGAAAGATTTTGCCTCGGCACACACTCATAAAACTACAGATTCACAAAACACAACAGATCAAGAATCTGGAGGAGAGTAGGTAAAATGGATCACAATCTAGATGTTGCATGTATACGGTATAATCTTCATCCAGATTCCTATCTCTAGCCATTTGTAATATGCTAATAATACTTTTCACCATAGCTACAGTCACTTCTGGGCTATTTGATGTGCATTTTTCACCTAGTAGTTGTCTCCATTCTGGTCTGATTTCAAACAGGGTTAATTGGTCTTTGCAATGTCTAAGGCTACATTCCTTAGGGTTTGTTTTTCTCAGGCCACTGCCTAGATGCCAGGCTATTCAGATCAAGTCTATAAATTTTACAACATAGTCATTGCACACAAAATCTATCCGCTCCAGCCATCGTGACAGTACAAGCATCAGCTGTGAACTGCATCAGTCCTGGGGATTGTTTCAATATCTCCCAATTCTCAGATTACTCTTCTCCACAGTAAGAAAACAGAAAATTTATTATTATTTATTTATTAATTAATTCAATTTGTATGCCGCCCCTCTCCGAAGACTCAGGGCGGCTCACAATGCATTTAAAATCATTATAAAAAACATTTAAAAATTAAAAACATTAAAACTCATTCACACCATTCATGGCCGGATCTCGCCGGATCGCAAGAGCGAGATCAATGGCCCCAGGCCTGCTGGAAAAGCCAGGTCTTCACCGCTTCTCGGAAGGCCAATAGGGTGGGGATGGTCCGGACCTCAGGAGGTAACTGGTTCCAGAGAGCTGGGGCAGCCACAGAGAAGGCCCTCCCCCATGGGCCCGCCAGCCGGCATTGTTTAGCTGACGGGACCAGGAAGAGACCAACTCAGTGGGATCTTACCGGTCGTTGAGAGTTATGCGGTAGAAGGCGGTCTCGAAGATATCCTGGCCCTGAGCCATGTAGGGCTTTAAAGGTAATAACCAACATCTCAAATTGTGACCGGAGACGAATAGGGAGCCAGTGCAGCTCGCGGAGAATTGGGGTAATGTGGGTGTACCTAGGTGCACCCACGACAGCTCGCGCAGCTGCGTTCTGAACCAACTGTAGTCTCTGAACACTTTTCAAGGGTAGCCCCATGTAGAGCGTGTTGCAATAATCTAACCATGAGGTGACAGGGGCATGAGTGACTGTGAGGAGAGCCTCCCGATCCAAGTAGGGTCACAATTGGTGCACCAGGCGAACCTGTGCAAAGGTCCCCCTAGCCACAGCTGTCAGATGTTGCTCTAATCTTAGCTGTGAATCTAGGACGACACCCAAATTGTGAACCTGTTCTGAGGGGGACAATTTCTTCCCCCCAGAACCAAAGATTGGACAAAAATTGGATTTAATGGGATAGGGCTTTTCTACAATGGATGGAGGGTATCTGTAGCATGCCCATCCAGAGAAAACATAACAATCTATTGATTTTTTAAAAACATTATTTTGAATTGACTTTGAAGCTCCTTCTGCTTTTCAGCCCTATAACTAAGTGTTCTATCTGCCACTCCATCTGCCACTCCCACAAAGGATTTTAAAAATTCTGGCTAATGATGCAAATGAGTAGAAGCACTTTTTATCCATTTAGAGCAGTTCTCTGTTCTCTTCTATCTCACTTTTTAGCTCCAAGAATTAAAACGATGGTCTCCAATACTTTGAGGCAGCTTGTTCATGTTTTTTTCAGTAAATCCTGTGACGTTTTAAGCAGTGACAAAAAAATATTGTATTTTTTAGCTCTTAAAATTATAGGACAGGCTTCTTAATTTCTATTTGTTAAAATATATGTGTAACCTTTTTGTATAAAACCTTTCGTATAATGCTTCTATGTCACAACTAGACTACTATATATTGTTTCACATGGCACTGTCCCTGCTGACTATTTAGAAACTATAGCTAGTTTAAATGAGACTCCCCATATAATAATGGTCAAGCTTGGATTAATAATTAGCATTATTATCACAGGAATTGCACTGATGACAATTAGCTTCTAGGAGCAATTTAAGGTGGCTATCACCTATAAAGTCCTATATGGCTTCAGACTTTGTTAGCAGGGTTTGCTCCAAACAGAATCTGCCACTTTGGTAAGAACCAATAGAGAAGTCATAATAGGGTGACAGGAAGCCTGGAGAGATTTTTCTGTAATGGCCTCCTTCTATAACAGATTGTCTCTAGAGACAAGGATGAGTTCATCTCTTAGTATTTTGGAAGATGGTTAAGACCTGGCATTTCCAGAGGGCCTTTGAGAAGGGAAAGTGAGAAAAGAATAGTTATGGATCATGGGTATGGTTCAAGGAGTGGCAGAATATTTATATATCCTAATGTTTATCTTAAACTTAGCAACAGCAATAGCATCTAGATTTATATACCGTTTCATAGTGTTTTACAAGACTCTCTAAACGGTTTACAGTGTCAGTATATTGCCCCCAACAACCTGGGTCCTCATTTTACCGATCTCAGAAGGATGGAAGGCTGACTCAACTTTGAGTCGATCAGGATTGAACTCCTGGCACTGGGCAGAGTTAATCTGCAATACTGCATTCTAACCACTGCAACACTACAGCTCCTAAACTTAACTACTGTATTGGGATAGTACTATTTGTTTAAAGTATCTGAACTGTAAACCCAAGTGTTAAATACATTAAATTCATGATTTAGATCAGATCTGGGGGGGGGGGACCTGGAGAAAAGCCAACCAAGGGAAGGAGAGTGCCTTCGGGTTCTTGCACAGAAAGTCAAGATCACCTAACATCCCAGAAACAAATATATATATAGAAAAATGGTCTTACATAAGAATGAAGTACATTGCTACTGAATGTTAGAAAGGATGTTGAACAGCAGTTGAACAGGGTAATAATTACAGGTAATATTTGACTTTTTTTTTTTTTAATTTGATTTATATGCCGCCCTTCTCCGGAGACTCAGGGCGGCTTACAGTGCGTTAAGCAATAGCCTTCATACTTTTGTATATTTTATAAAGTCAGCTTATTGCCCCCAAAAACTGGGTCCTCAATTTACCTACCTTAGAAAGGATGGAAGGCTGAGTCAACCATGAGCCTGGCAAGATTCGAACTTACTTTAATTGCAGACAGCTGGTGTTAAATTACAGTGCCTTGTCCGCAGAGCTATCCAGGCTCCTGGACTTATGACAACTGTGACCAAAATTTCTGTTGCTAAGCTAATTTCTGATTGTTGAGTTGTGCCTGAATTTATGACCTTTTTGCAGAGTTGTTAAGCAAATCACTGCAGTTCTTAAGGGAATCATACAGTCATTGAGCAAATCCAGTTTCCCTCACTGACATTGCTTTTTGGAAGCCGGCTGGGAAGGTCTTAAAGGGTGATCACATAACCCAGGATGCTGCAAGCCTTATAAATACATGCCAAGTTGCCAAGTGTCCAAATTTTGAACACATGACTGTGGAGATACTGCAACAGTTGTACAATAAGTGCAAGAAGCAGTTGTCACTTTTTTATATCGCCACTGTAACTTCAAACAGTCACTAAAACGAATGGTTGTAAGAGGAGGACCACCTGTACCAAGAACTATGAGCTCCTATGCTCTGGATGTCTGGTAAGCCATCTGTTGGGATGCTTTAATGTGGATTCCTGCAGGGAACTTCAATGGCCCCTTCTCTACCATTCTAAGAATACTGAATGAGAATCAGCCCGATGATGATAGCAAAGATTCTGTCCTCTGCAAAAGTACTTTATTATTATATATAATAATTATATATTATTATCATTTCCATTTTTTCTTAAAAGTTATTCTTCTTATCAAGGGAAAATGGGTGGATATCAAAGCCAAGTGTGGGTAGCACTGGGCAACAGAACCTCCTGCTCTCCAAGACCACTGGTCAGAGAAGACCAAAAAATGCAGCTATCAGGCCTGGTTGTATTGTGTGGACCTTTTGTTTCAGCAAGAGGGACGGTGTAATTTTAACTGTTTCCTCAGCCTTCAAGCGAAAGGCTGAAAGGCAGAAACCGGGCAGCCGCCCGGTGTAGCATCTTCGCCCGACACTTTTGGCGGGAGGAGGTGGGCCAAGCGCGCGCCGCCAAACAGCCCGGTCAGCCCGCTCTGCCCCGACGGCGGCGATGATTGACGGCGGCGTCCGTTGGAAAAAAGCCGATCGGCCTTCCACGCGGGCCTTCCACCGTCCGTTGGACTGAGGGGGGGAGGCAGGCAGAGAAGGCGAACGGGCGCGAGACGGCCTCGAAAGCCTGGCGGCTCCCCGCAGACCGAGCCACCTCGATGGAGGACCCACTGCTCTCGGCCGCGCCCATTAACCCCAACAACTTCCCCGCCAAGCTGTGGCGCCTGGTCAACAGCCCGCGCTTCCGCTCCATCCGCTGGGACGCCCGGGGCGAGGGACTCCTCATCGACCAGCCCTTGTTCGAAGCCGAGCTCCTGGGCGCGGGCGGCAGCGGAATGGCCGTCGCAGTGGGAGGCGGCCCTGGGGGCGATGGCGCCGGCCCCACCTCCGCCGGCGGCTCTTCAGTGTCTCCGTCTTCGTCGTCCACCTCCTCCTCGCCGGAGCTGTTCAAGACAACCAATTTCACTAGTTTCATCCGGCAGCTCAATTTGTACGGCTTCCGCAAAGTGGTGCTAGGCCCGCCGGGAGGCAGCGGGGGCTCTTCGTCTGGCGGTGGATCCACCGCAGGCGCCTCAGCTGCCGCCTCGGCTCCCGGCGGCCCCTTGCACCATTTTCACAGCCCGCACTTTCGCCGCGACCGGCCCGATCTGTTGGTTCATCTCAAACGCCTGACTAGCGCGAACAAGGCCAAGCTCGCCGCAGGCCTGGAAGTCACCAGCCGGCCACCCAACCGCTTCCAGCGCCTCCTCAGCACCTCCCTTCACGGTGGCGAGGCCCTCCTCAGCCAGCAACATCAGCACCATCACAATCCCCCGCCGGCACATGCAGGGGCCGTAGCTGCCAAGAACGACAACAAGCCCGGTGAGAGAGGAGGGCGTGATTGTCATCACCACGAACAGCACCTTCTCCCTTGTGCAATGAGAAAGTTACTAACAATAACAACCATATCGTAATAATAATAAAGGTTCAGTGTTGGGCGCATGGTACTGAGCGCTTGCAGAGTGCACCTTGAGGAACCAGTCTGCCAGAGTTCAGCCCCAGTTCAATGAGAAAGCATGTTCAGAAGCTCTCCCATTTCATCCTGAGCATCTAAATGTTTATTTAAAAAAACCCGAAGAGTTACTGCCTTTAGTTTTAAGAATAGTGAGCTTTCTCTGTGCCCTTATGGCTGTACAGGTAGTCCTCGAATTACAACAGTTTGTTTAGGATCCTTTCAAAGTTGCAACAACAAGATCATTTTTCACACTTAGGACCGTTGGAGCATCCCCATGGTAACATTTACATTTGGATGGTTGACAACTGGTTCATATTTATGACAGTTGCAGTGCCCAGGGGTCATGTGATCATCCTTTGAGACCTTATGACAAGCAAAGTCAATGGGAAATCCAGATTCACTTAACCAAGTTACTAATTTACTTAACATATGGAGCAAGAAATGTCGTAAAATGGGACAAAACTCAATAAATTTCTCACTTAGCAACATAAATTCTAGGCTCAATTGTAGTTGTAAGTCAAGGACTTCCTGTATTTGTATATCATTTTTACTCCAACTGGACCGCTATTTGCTCAATTTAGGATTCTGGGTTTGCATATTAAAGTACAAAACACAGTCAAGATTCATCCAGTCATATATGATTGACTCTTCAATATCTCATAGGAATAAACTAATAACTCACTTGCTTTGTTCACAAAACAATTAACCAGATCAATTAAAGTTCTAGTGGTTGTATTTGCACAATATATTAAGCTTGATTGCTACTAGTTTCGGTTAGCTTTTATGTGGCCTAGTATGTTATTCAAAGCCACACTGTTTGATTAGTCAATTGTTCAATGTATTATATGAATCAGAAAATGAATTATCTGTAACCAAGTTAAATATTGTGTGAATAAAGCCATATAATCACTAATAAGCAATATTAATTACCTAAAGGCCCTGGTTCAAATCTTTGGTTATCCAATGTCAATGCAGAATCCATTCACTACTATATTGAAGTATGGTGATTAAAGTCCTTTACTTTGCCATGCATATTTTATACAGGTAGTCCTCAAATTACAACATTTTGTTTAGTGACCATTTGAAATTACAATGGCACTGAAAATAGTGACATGACCATTTTTCACACTTATAACTGTTGCAACATCCCCCTGGTCACATGATATACATTCAGATGCTTGACAATTGACTTCTATTTATGATGATTGCACTGTTCCTGGATCATGTGATCACTTTTTGCATTCTGACAAGCAAAGTCAATGGGGTTTGTCAGCGTTCCAGAAAAACCCCAATTCCAAGTAAAGACGTGGAAGCAAGCATTTCCCAAAGTTCTCTACTAGAATAGGCAAACTGGCACATCTGGGGAAACCCAAATCTGAAAAGCCCGGGTTTTCCATCAGTAAGTCAAAGCTCCCAAAACCATCCCCTTTTCCACCCAGTGGGTCACATGCTCCAATGAACATCCGTTCCATCCTGATCCAGCCCCCTGACCACTCCTCCAGATGCTGGATCACCATGACTTTGACCGAGAGGAAGAATGCTATTATGTCTACTAACCCCCTCTCCTTAATCCCCCCTCCTACTTTCCCACACATGAGAAGGTGGCAGCATTGGAGCTTCAGGCCTAATATGGCTTCCAAATCTGACACTAGATTCACAACTGTGGCAAGAAAAGTCGTAAAATGGGATAAAACATACTTAACAAATTTCTCACCCAGCTACATAAATTTTGGGCTCTATTGTGGTCGTAAGTTGAGGACTCCCTGTATTCTTTAAGTAATTAGAAGTCTGTGGATAGATGATTTTTAGTTATAGAATCTCCACTCCTCCAATTTACTAGGTAAGGTTTTAAAGTAGATCGCATTGAAGTCAACAAAATTCTTCTATAAATAAATGCAGAACAGAAACATTTCTTTAATGTTAAAATGTTAAAGATATCCCCAGATAAATCCTTGTACTTCAAAACAACACTATAACAAGATCTCACACGTTTCAATCACTATTTATTGTATCCTATTGAATCCACTCTGCTTGAAAAAATATTAACGCTAAATGTTAAGCCTAAAATATTGTTTTTTAACAAGTATCTCCTACTCTGCAGATTTGAGCTGTGCAGTGCCTTTCAAGGCTGATAGATTTAATGAGGAACAGAATTCACCTATTCATTTAGTGCACCTGCTCAATGACAAATTATTCAGAATAATCATCCCTACGTGGAACTACTCTGCCAAATCTTTAAATAACCTGACCAGTTGTTGAGTTTATATCATGAAAAATCATAAAATAGGTTTGAGCTTAGCACGTCTTGTGAATCCAGCCAATTCATTTTATAAATAATAATTAAACATGATTTAATTGCAGAATTTCTTTTCCTCAAACGATGCTGGGAATTCATTTTTTAAAAAAATCTGAAAAAACTGTAAAAGTATATCTGGCTGATTTGGAACAAGAGATATCCTTTATGCATGTTCCATTTGCTCCATCTTTTGTTAGACTATGCAGTGATTCCTTTTTTGCAGTTTTTCAGTATTTGTTTTAAATAATTGGTGCTGTATGCATTTCATACTATCACCATTCTGTTAGTTAATGCAGCTCTTTTTTCAAGTCTCCAGTAATATATGAAGAAACAGGAGCATATCACTGATAAATGAGTACCAAATTTACTAGTTGCTATGGCTATGGTAAAGGTTTCCCCATTTACTCGTGTCCAACTCTAGGGGGCGGTGCTCATCCGTTTCTTAGCTGAGGGAGCTAGCATTATCAGAAAACATTTTCCATGGTCATGTGGCCAGCATGGTTAAATGCTAAGGCACATGGAATGCTGTTACCTTCCCACTAAAGTGATATCTATTTATCTACTTGCATTTACAAGCTTTCAAACTTTTAGATGGGCAGGAGCTGAAGCAGAGCTCACCCCACCATGTGGCATTCAGGTCTCAAACCTGGGCTGCCACTGACAAATTCAGCATCTTTAACCGCTGAGTCAATGTACCCCCTTTTGCTATGGCTATAGACACATTAAATAATACTTGTCAGTCATAGGACCAGGATGGAAATAGATTAAATTATTCATCAAGATCAGTTGGAGATTACTAGCAGGTGAATAAAATTGAAACAAAAAGAACAGGAGGGAGAGCACTGGAGCAGGTATTTTATAATGTTCTCTCCATTTTTAATAGGATATATTATTTTTCATTTAGACCCAGTATCACAGAGGAGAAAAGGTAGAAATCTCACAAACAGCTGGAAGAAGTATTTCATAGATGGTCATTATAAATTTAGAAGAAATATAAATTCTCATTTTTCATTGCATCCATTATTAGGATTGTTTCATGTAAGATAATGTTGCTACACAAATATACCCATGTAAAAAAATCCCACATATATCACAAGAAGTAACAAATACATGTGTACCAGTTTCGGTAAAATGAAGACCCAGATTGTTGGGGGCAATATGCTGACACTGTAAACCGCTCAGACAGTGCTGTAAAGCATTATGGAGTGATATATAAGTCTGAATGCTACTGCTATTGCTATTGACAAAATACGTAAAATACGTAAAATAATAAAATGAGGGTTTGATAAAATAGCAAAAAACAAGTTATGTTTATAGGTAATCCTTTAAATAATTTAACTGAACAGCACCTAGCAAGTTAAAGCAATGAGAGAATAGTAACTCTTAGAATATTTGAACTATCCAATGTAAGTCTAAAACAATGATTATGACAAATCTCATTTGGGAGGAAAAAGATATTGCTACTGAAAAAGCTCTCTTTCCAGATAAGACTACTACTGAGAGTATATTAGGACCAACTAATATACTACTTCTGTTGAAAATTTCCTCAGGCTGTTAAACAGCAGAAAGTAATCTTTCGGATATTCTGGTCCAAAATGTTTTAAAGGATATTACTAGTTCTCCATATTTGGTCGGGAATAAACGAGAAGCCCATGCATTTTTTAAAATAAGAGAATCACATACTTCCAATAGGTGACAATTCCTTAATTGCGTAAGTCTATTATGGGTCAATTGTAGTTTCTCAGCACGTTTCAAAGATAGCTTCATATAGAATGTATTGCTGTAATACACAAATATAGTATTCCTAAGGTATCTGTCATTTGATAGAGATGTGATCGTCAAGAATAGGTATAGATGCACTAACCCACAGTAATATGTCTATAAATTAGACTACTGCATTATTTATTTATAAAATTTATATAGCCATCCATCTCACCAAAGGCAACTATGAGCAGCATACAACAGTCAGAGACAGCAACAAAAATAAATATTATAAAAACAAACCTGATATGAATGTATCCCAAAAGGTACAGAAGCTCAGAAATTATAAAAAATATATTTTAAAATCTGTTGAGCTTGCACCTAAGACGTTTTTAGAATATACTTAATAGCACAGAAAACTGGACTGATTTCTGGCCCATTTCTAATCTAATTTAGGCTGCTGGTTATTATCTTACATTCTTCACAACTTGAAAATGAAGAACACTTTCATAATTCACTTGTAGACAATTATTGAGGCCTTTGTCTACTCACCATAACTCATTTTCAGAGATATGGCAACTAGCAAACAGAGGAAAAAGTCTTCATTTTGCGAAATAGTCTGACGTTCTAATATTCCCCTGGCCCAGATGAACACTTTTTAGGTATATATTTTTTAGCCCAAATTATTTTTTAGATGTTCAATTATTAGTTTTTAATTTAAGTGCATATTATTATTACTGTTAAATATTATTGAAAAGGGCTCTATCGTATTTGATTCTGAAATGGATATTCCTAGTATGAAATTAAATATAGAAATCAAGGGGTAGTGACAAATCAGTACATCAGTCCAGATTATGTTATCACTCTAGACTCTTCCTAATCCTATGGTAATGTCCTAGGAATGATTTGATTTCCAAAGCAGGGCTAATACTCACTTAAGAAATCCTATCCAGAATCATATACATATGTCAATTGATGCAAATTAAGAGTTCCAATTCTAACTAGGAAGTTACTTTTTTGAGTACTGTTTGCTATATCATTTGATTAAAACTAATCTAGGCAAATATGCTTAGCAGTGATTATACAATATTAGAGACTTAGTGGCTTCTAACATATGTTTGAAAATATTTCAAATTTCTCATTTTCTTCTCCATCTTCAGCTCCATTGACTTTAGAACAGGTTCATCGATCTTTTCGGCGAGACAGTTTATCTCCTTATTCCTACCTGTCACCATCATCTCACAACCAAAATGCTTTTCCACTGAAAGGTTCCGATCGGACTCCTTTTCCTCCCAGAACATGGCAGAACTCCCTTGGAATGCTCCCAGGTCAGGTGGAGACATCAGCTTTTTCAGACAAAGGTGTTCCATTTCCTGTGTTGCAGAGGTTCCCAACAGAAGTAACTTATACTCTGCAGCCCAGCTCTACATCTGTGCATATTCAACAAGGGCCTCAGACAATGGCCCCATCTTCCCAGAAATATACCAGTTATGCAGCTTCAGCACCATACTCCCAAGCTTACTATCCAACAGGTAACATGTTCCAATATTAGTTTATTTCATCAAAAGTTTAAAAGTATACTTTAAAATTTTTACAAGTCTAGTGTTAACAGCAGCAACAACCTCCAGCAAGGCTCCCATCCAATCACAAAACTATTAAAATATCTGATATATAAAAATACAGATGCAAATTTATAGTAATGTATAGTATGTAGATTGTCTCATTGAAGGACTTGTGATAAGGTATCCCTGATAATATAGAAATACCATGGCAAATCTGCTTGTTGTTTAGACGAAAAGAGCCCTAGGGAATATTTGGGGCTTCTATGTCCTGCCACATATTGTGTTACAGCTATTTTTTGTGACCACTGGTTGTGCCACCTGCAGCTAATGCAAGGAAGCAGTAATAGTCCAACAATATCTGAATTTATCTCTGCAATAGTAATCATTTGTCTCAAAGCAATGTAATAATCCAGCCAAGAGCTAGCATCTAAAATACTCATGGCAGCTCCCTACAATTCTTTTAGCTGGAAATGTAAGAAAAAAGAGCCTAGCCTGGAATTTATAGTTTAATCTGCACTTAAGTTTATACTTTAGAATTGTATTTATATGGAATTACACAGCTACTTCTTAAAATACTTGATATTTGATGTGACCTACCCCAAATATCTATATTCAGTTGTTTTCAATAATGACAGGAAATGGCAGTGTTTTGATTTATGGCTTACCGGTAAATCTAAAAGCTATTTCATATGTATTCACAGTCCACATCATACACTTTGATCATGGACTAGTGAAGTACTTACAATATGTCTATTTTTTAAACTTCAAACATCCTGGAAACTTGCTGCACAGATCCATAAACTATGCAATGTTTCTAATATATGTCATCATACAAAGGAATACATTTATTTAATGTTTACATTGCACCCACTGAAGTTTTAGCAGGGACTTATGGCTCTGTCATATTAGCTTTTGCTGTTCATATTAGTTAAAGCAGCCCTGGGGTTTTGCCTTAACACAACAAGCAAACAAAATGTTCAGACAGACTGTTCTATTTTAAACATCAATGCTGTCAAAGCTGTGCTCTTCTACTGAGGTCATAAGCAGATACTTGGTTAAAAATGACTTCTGAGCAGTAGGATTATAAACCTGTAAAGGGAAAGTGTTTAATGTCAAAGAATAGAGAAGATTCATTCAACACAGTCATTTTTCTGAATGACTATCTGATCATTTACATTTGAAACTTATTTTAAAAGTTGTTCTTAACTGGTTCTATAAATTAGTTGTGTACAGTATCCAGTAAGTTTGAATATTATCACTAAATGCTAATCCTTTTTCTCCCTTATGCAATATAGGTAGTTCTTGACTTATGACCATAATTGAATCCAAAATTTCCATTGCTAAGCAAAACAATTAAGTGAGTTTTACCACATTTTATGACTTTCCTTGCCACAGTTGTTAAGTGAATCACTGCAGTTGTTAAGTTAGTAACCTGATTGTTAAGTGAATTGACTTCCCTATTGACTTTGCTTGTCAGAGAGTCATAAAAAGTGATCACATGACCCTGGGGCACTGCTACTGTCATAAATATGAACCAGTTGCCAAGCATTTGAAGTTTGATCAGATAACCATGGGTAATAAGTGTGAAAAGCACTTATATTCATTTTTTTTCAGTTGTAACTTCGAATGGTCACTAAATGAATGGTTGTAAGTTGAGGGCTACCTGTATTTGCCTTCATAAATTCCACAATACTCCTTGGTGATGCTCTGCCTTTAAAAGTTTACTACGGTAAAGAAATTATCATTGAATGGTAACTAGCTGACTTTCTATATAAATTGGGCTTAGTAATTGTGAAAAAACTGCACATACTTCTGTTTTCATGGACTCAAAAAATTCTTTATGTGAAACACATTAACGAACCAATGGTGGGAGAAATAGAAATAGAATAATCTTTGTTATGCATTTGCCTATTTGAAGACCCATGTATTTTGATCAAACCAGCCAATCTAGGTTTAAATTTTAGGTTTAAATTTTATCACAGGCCTAGGTTTTAAGACAGAGTGATCTAGAAAGCTCAATTCCTTACAAAACTGTGTTTGGCAATCCAAAGCTGAACCTAGCTATTCACAAATTTTGGATTAATAAAGAATTTCCCTAAAGAGTCTTTTTTCACATTTCTTGTGCTTGGGCTGCTCTATATTAACACACTCTTTAAAACATAAATTATTTACTTAGGGAAAGGGATTAGTCCTCAGATCATGTCTGCTTTTTATATAGGTCTGTAGCCCATTTCTGCTGATCCTATACTATACCATAATCCACTGCTAGATTACAGGTGGGAGAACTATAATAGTATTAAATGCAATTTAGAAAATCCTTTTAATTAATTGGGAATATCATTTCTGCCTTTTAATTTCTTTTCTTTTCTTTCTAGCTGTATTACAATGTTGTTCTCCACCTACCCACATGGATCCCCTAAGCGGTTGTGGTAGTCCTACAGCCTCAATCTATACACACTGCAGCTATTTTCAGGTGAATGAATTGGCTAAGTTCCAGTGACCTGTCTAAGGCATGTCCAATGCAATATATTGTATGCTTTTCTGAATCCTGACCTTAATGGCATGTCATAACATAGTGAAGTTTTGAAAATTCAGTTTGTTTCTGTAGTAGTTAGGTGTATGGCATTAAGCTTAAAAAGTAAATTTAAGAAACATCAAATCGATTCCCCCTTGGTCACAAGTTTATTATATCTGTGGCTGAACACGTAAAAATTTTGTTTATGGTAAATTATTTCAATAATTAGAAATTTCTTGTTTACAAAAACCAAAAATTAGTTGTAGAATGATATATAATCTTTAAAAATTCTGTTAAGTATTTTCTTTTTAAGGAAAATAGTTCCTAAAACCATAAATTCTATATTTAAATGTTCTATATTAATTGCTTTGACTCTAAAGTAATATAAATTGTTCACACAATAAACTTTCTCCCATGATTTCTGAAGAATGTCAGAAAGCCCAGTTCAAATTCAATCTCTGCAGCAATATTGTTATATTAAATTCAAATAATATTTAGTTGATTTACTTATAGCCTTTTCTTTTAGAGATAAGTTACAAAAAGGACACCAGAATTAAAATTTGTTAATGAAGACTTTGGAGTCTTTGTATTTTTTTCAAAAGTAACTGTATTTTAAACACATATGCTAAAGACAGATGTATTATTGGGTTATATAGTCTTGTTTTACTCAGCAGTGCTAAAATGCACAAATAAATGTCTGTGTCTCACTAGAATCCACCAATGCAATCTTCATATCCAGTTGAATTTTTGCCTTCTAATTGGTCCTGCAACACCTCTGATGAAAACAAGAAGACAGAAGTCAATCTAGAAGCCGTCTTCCAGATTGTTGATGAAATGCATTCATCCCCAAAACTGGAAATGGTAAAAGTAGAACCAGTGGAGAACCAATGTCCAACTTCACAGTCAAATCGAAACCAGCAATTAATAGTTAATTCAGGGAATAGTGATACAGCTTCTTCAGGTCAAACCAGCCACTTAGAACCTCTAACACCTGTAGGCTCAGATATCACATCCTTTGTTGTAGAGTCTGAACAAGCTATAGCATGCTCCTTGCCACAGTCTCCAGAGTTTATCTACGCTATTCATACCGCAGAACCTGTGGAGAATACCACAGCTCAAATAGTGCAACAGCCTACAGTCACACCACAAACATCAGCAAAGGTCAAAGAACAACTGAACCAGTCTTCTGCAGTGTCTCCCATGGTATTTGTTCAAGAGGAACTTCCATTTAGTCAGCCACAGGTAGGGAACAATGTAACAACTATGTTATATTCTGGACTGATAATCTCATCTCTATGTTCTTCAGTAGTAAGCAAATATTTAAATTAGAATTAAAGCAATATATTTCATGGCATCATCAAATCATTGATTTTCAAAATTATAAAATACAAATATTGCTTAATGTGCATAATTAACACAATTGAATATAATTTTCACTATTAAAGTTTTGTTAAAACGAATTCATCTGTGTTCATATAACATACTTGACAGGTCAGTTAAAAACTAGCAGCTGTGTTTACACAACTTTCTAAGGTTAATATTAACTTTGCTTAGCTTTTTTTGTCACTCAGCATGTTGTGTGAACCCAGCCAGTTTCATTAGTTATTGTTGGCTGAATTGTGTAAACTCAGAAAATGGGCTAATTTAAAAAGCAGCTTAAGTTTATTGCATGATTGCAGTCATAATATTAAGATTATTGTCATGATCATAGGTCAAATTGTAACTAAGGAAACCTGAACTCAAATCCTCAACCAACCCCGAAAGTTTTACTGGACTGCCTCAGACCAATTACCCCTGGCTGGGTATACAAGTTGCATTAAAATACGGTTTGTTTAATTTGGTTCATAAAGCATTTTAAACTGTATTCGGTAACTCCTTACCAATTGTGAGGGTTTGGTTCTTGGAAGCCCTTCCGATTAGTTAATTCGAGATGATAGATTTAATACTTTATGGGGCAAGTAGGGTTAGGGTTAGGGTTAATTAAGTCATGCATCAAGGCATTAAATAATGGCAGTGAATATCTGAAAATTGTGTTTCTGAAATATTTCTACCAAATACCGGTAATTGATCTGAAAATAATTGTGTTTCTGAAATATTTTTACCATTGTTGCTGCGATGATACCTATTTGGATGACACTGGTAATTAAGACGATGGGGATAATTTTAAATTTTAATTGTTCTTTGAAAGATAATCTCCTTTTCCACAATAGCTCATACAGTCTGTTGGTTGTTCTGAATATGCCTTTGCACATGTAGCTTTTGTAAAGAAATCTTGGATGATAGGCTTCCTGCTTTTCCTTCTTAAGTCTTTGTTATGGCATCATGTGTGGAAACAACATAGACCATCCTGGGACCCTGGAATAGTAATGAAATAAATATTATATTGTGGAGAAAGGGCTTCAAGGACTTGTGCCGTTTTCCGAAATTTTTGAAATAAATGTATTGCTTATTTGTGTGTTTTACTTCTTTATAAGGAGGATCCTAATATAAAGTGTGAGACAAATACATCAGAGACTGTTGCATCCTCAGAACAAATTGGTTTCCTCGTTTCAGAAGTGGGTCCTCTCAACAAATGTGCCAAAGATTCAGTTTCATCCATCCAAAGCAAATGCAGAGAAAGAAGGAGCAGTTCACAGAAGGGCAAATCCCCTGGTAAGAATAGTAGGCTTTCGGTGTCTTCTCATATTTATTTATTTATTTAATATTTAAATTTTTATACTGCCCTTCTACCGAAGGACTCAGGGCGGTGCACAGCCAACACTAAAACACACATATACAAAAAATTTAAAAGCAATTTAAAAATATATGAAATAATTTGGCCCCTATATTATTAAAAAACTAAAACAACCATTAAAATTCATGTTTAGGCCAGCCCAGCTTGTTGGAACAATAACGTCTTGAGGACACGGTGAAAGGCACGTAGGTCAGGGATCATCCGTATCTCCGGGGGCAATTCATTCCAGAGGGCAGGTGCCCCCACAGAGAAGGCTCTCCCCCTGGGGGTCACCAGTCAACATTGTTTGACCGACAGCACCCTGAGGAGTCCCTCTCTGTGGGAGCGTATTGGCCGGTGGGAGCCTATCGGTAGCAGAAAGCGATCTCGTAAGTACCCAGGTCCTAAGCCATGGAGTGCTTTAAAGATGGTAACCAACACCTTGAATCGCACCCGGAAGACCACCGGGAGCCAGTGCAGCTCGCACAGGAAAGGTGTTACATGGGAGCGCCGTGTCACTCCGATAATCACCCGCGCGGCCACATTCTGGACCAGTTGGAGCCTCCAAGTGCTCTTCAAGGGGAGCCCCATGTAGAGAGCATTACAGTAGTCCAGTAGTCCAGACGGGAGGTGACGAGGCCATGCGCAAGGAGTCCCGGTCCAGAAAGGGACGCAACTGGTGAATCAGGCGAACCTGATAAAAAGCCTCCCTAGCCACAGCCATCACCTCATCTTCTAGAGACAGCCGTGCATCCAGGAGGACACCTAAGTTGAAAGCCCTCTCTGAGGGGGCTAAGATCTCACCCCTAATAGTCAGCGATGGAACCAGCTGGCTATACCGGGACGCCGGAAACCTCAGCCACTCGGTCTTGGAGGGGTTGAGTCTGAGCTTGTTTCTCCCATCCAGATACGCACGGCCTCCAGGCACCGGAACATCACGTCAAGGGCATCATTGGGGTGGTCTGGGGTGGAGATGTACAGCTGAGTATCATCAGCGTACTGATGGAACTTCAGCCCAAAACTACGGATGATCTCACCCAGCAGCTTCACATAAATGTTGAACAGGAGGGGCGAGAGGACCGACCCTTGCGGCACCCCACAAACAAGGCGCCTCGAGGTCGACCTCTGTCCCCCTGTCATATAAATTTATTTATATTGAAAAACTGGAGGCTATGTTTTTCCTCAATTTTTAGAGGAATTTTATTTCTGCTAATTCCTCAGACACCAGCATGAAGGAGTTAACCTGTGTTACACTTATCTTTTGTACAAAGATTGAAATACCGATAGGCCTCGACTTATGATCACAATTGAGCCCAACATTTATGTTGCTAATTGTTAAGTGAACCACTGCAGTTGCTAATTTAGTAACATGGTTGTTAAGTGAATCTGGTTTCCACACTGACTTTGCTTGTCAAAAGATCGCTAAAGGGGATTACATGACCCTGGGATGGTATGACTGTCATAAATATGAAGCAATTGCCAAGCAGCTGAATTTTGATCATGTGACTACAGGGATGCTGCAATCTTGTAAGTGTGAAAAATGGTCATAACGCCCTTTTTTCAGCACTGTTGTAACTTTGAATAGTCACTAAATGAACTGTTGTAATTTGAGGGCTATCTGTATTAGTATGGGACATGTTAATAGTTCTGATTACTAATGCACTATTGATCATCCCCCATAATAAACATTGAATAACCTTCATGCGATTCTGTGAATGAAGAGATGTGCAGTAGAATTGTGTGTGTGTGTGTGTGTTTCTGCTCAGTTAGTCCCGTCTATGTTTAGAAGATTTATGTGTAAGATTTCAACTGAAGGAGAATTTGAGCATTAGATTGGAGGGAAAATAAAATGTACAATCTGTTGACCTCTATCTGATCTCTTGATCTTACAATCAAAATATAGTCAAAGAGCTGAAAATGATTTAGAGTATCATTTAGGCCTGCTTGGTGCAGGATTTGCAGGGCAGAATGGAACTTCACAGCCATACATATCTCTAGCAAAAAGAAAACCCAACAACTCCTGAAATAGGTTGTTTACATGTTAAACAACTCTTATCACTAAATTTGAACTGCTATGCCAAAATCATATTTTCTGCAATGATATGTCTTGGTTGTAATTGCAGTGCTTATGGTTTAGGGCTTGTGTGAAATATTTTTGGAATGTTGTAAAATCAAAATCTTTGGTAGGAAGCCCCACCCTCACCTCCATGTCATAGGTTTTATTCCTGGTGATTTTCATTCACTTCTTTTCTAACACCATAGTAATTTCCTCTCTGAGAGCTTTCTGTTTTGCTTAGGAAATTTTGGTACTTGGACAATAGGCATCTACAAGGTGGAAGTGCAATTGACAAAATATTGTTGTGACATCACCGTGCAAACTCTGTCCTTATGTACTTGCACACTGTTGTGATACAATATGAAAGAGTAGAGTTTATTTCATGACATCACAATGTCTGTCTAATCATTTTGGCATCATGATGGTTAGGAATGGATCCTTGTGACTTTAATAATTTCTTCCTTGATTGTACTTTATTTGGTCCAGGAATTATATTTTTCTTTGGAGACATGAATTCTTTGGCTTTTGAAATCTTGTTTCAGGAGTGTAAAAATTGTGGCAGCAACTTCCTTGTTCTGATGATGCTAATCAGGTGTCTCTTCTTGAAACACATAGCATGCTGTGATTTCTTTGTTATCTGCTTGGACTGCACTTACATACATGTGTATTAAATAAAAATATTAATAGTAACATTATTAAATCTGTAAGTTCAGTCTGTTATGTTTCAGCTTTATCTGCTGCCTTTCTGAGAAGGGTGTCTCCTTGACATAAACAACAGTAATTTCAACTCACTACTTTTATTTGGTGTTACAGATAACATGTTAAAGCCAATGCAGATATGATCTTTAGCAGTAGTTGTATTCCCTTGTATCTTAATGTTATATACCTATCCTATATTCTTTAACTATTTAATAATTAACTATTCACATGTATACATAATAGAAAGAGACCACAGAAATATAGTTAACTGCAGCTGTGGATTTATAAGTGGCTATCTGTGCATTACTTCCCCTACCAATTTGTATCTGTACAATGTAGCAAGAAAGAAAATGCCTAATTTTTCACTGAAACGCTGTTCTGCCACAGCTGCTGGGGAACTCTATCTGGCAAATATGGGTTTGGAACCCCATTAGTTAAGACAGACAAGGGTACATTTTCTATCTCTTAAGATGTATTTTACATCTTAAGAACCAAACTACAGAATAAATACTGGATTGCCATTTGTGTTCTTCCTAGATCTACATTTGCTAGTGGATGTGGCTTGCAAGCAAGAACATTTTCCAAAGGAAGAAGAATTAAGGGAGTGAGAAGTTGATGGAAAGTATGCACAAATGCAGAGCAGTAGCCAGCTGGGGAAGAGCAGTGGCTTTCATTCCAAGAGTATTTTGGGGACTGTTATGACAAATAAAACTCTCTTCCATTGCTCATTTTTGTCACACTTGTAAATAATCCCACCACTGTTTTTAATACCTCTTTAATAGGTTTAAATTATTTTTTAACTTGTTTCATCTAATTAATAAACTTATTTGTCCAAATCTGTTAAAAGTAGAAAAGCTGTATTTCAAACAGCTGCCACAAATGTCCCCGTAGGATTGTTCCAATTTCATTTGAAGACTGTTTATCTCATTTTCTAGTTAATTACACAAGCGGTTTCTTTCTTTCTTCATTTTTCCATCTCTAATAGCTGCTGGATATTTTACGTTAATGGTACATTCTTGTGTTTTAATAATTTCCTCATTCTAGAGCCAACATAAAACAAGTGTTAAGGCTTATGTTGTTTTATTGCTTATCTTAAATGTCTTTGCAAGCTATTTAACTTGTTCAATATGATTGTATTTATTGACAATAGATTTTAAAGAGTAATGACTTTGTACTTGAATGTATTTATGTTGTAATTAGAATACATGCAAATGATGTAGCATGATGAGAATGTGTTATAAGACTATTCTGATTTCCCAGAACTCTGAAAAATGCATAAGGATATAATTCCTCAAAAACTCAGATCAGATAGATCTGTTATTCCAATTGACTTTCTGCAATTCCTAGATTTCTTACATCCATTATCTCTCAATGAAAGGTAGGATGAACCAAAGTCAACCACACAAACTCAGCTATAGCCTCATATTGATTTGCAAGACAGTAATATATTATTTCTTGCAAAGCTTCCATTCCTTTGATATACTGATTATTTTGAGATAATTCCAATCATTTTTCAGAGGCTCCATTTGTCCATCTATATACATTCAGTCTAATATTAAGATAAAATTAAGTGAAGAATAAAATGCTACACAAGCAGGGAGAATACTTAGCAAGGTCTCTGAATTTTAAAAAATGATAAGAGGTGCTTGTATATCAGTCCTGATTTTAATTAAAAATAGGCATTTCTTCAGGTCTGTTGCAGATCCAAATAAATGTTGCAAATGAAGCTCATTCTTTATCATACCTGATTGGACTACAGGAAATAATTGTATTGTAGCATAGCTTTATTAATAATTCAAAATTATTAATAAAGAACATTTAAACGGGCCTCTATTTTTAAGGCTCAGTCTGGAAATGGTGATATTTATATCTTTACATCTGTCTCTAAACTAACTGGAAAATGAGGCCAAGGAGCTGGATCTCCTACCATATTTATAGACTCAGTTATTTGACTCTTAAGCATTTGTAGAAAAGAAAGAATATTCAAACTGGCAAAGGATAAAATAATATTCAAACTATTTAAGAAATCTCTACAATATTTCTTGATGCTAATACTCAGCATAACTCTATCTGGAACAACCTTCTCAGTACTTTCACAGCTTTCAGCTAAAATGTATTCTATCAATAAATAATAAAAAGGATTACTCCAAAGAAGTCCAGTGTTTGCTATAGTAATACTTGAGTAGGACTACCAGATTTTCTGGCAAAAATCCAGAATAGCTAGACAGCAGAATGATAGGTTGAATCCAGTGATTATCTGGATTTTTGCTGCTTTGGTCTTAATAGTCCTATTTGATTTTTATTTGAATAAAATTAAGTACTAAATCACTCCACCCTCAAAAGTATACTAAAGTGAAAGGACAGTTCACATAGTCATTTTAACACTGTATAGTAAGCAATTTAAAATAAAAAATTCAGTAACAGCCTACAAATGGGAGATCTTCATTATAATAAAAAGAACAAATCAAAACATCAAATATCCATATTTTCCTTCTTTTATTTGAAGAAAATTGACCTTTCTCCATATACAAATAAAATTATTGCAAAACTGGTTTTCACATGGAGTTCTGTACATTATGGAATACTTGACTTTCTAGTAACCTGAATGCCGTACCCAGTGGAATTATACCACATCCTAAATTACAGCTTCAAATGGGTAATCTTGCTTTGAAGTTTCCTGTCTGGCCTGTGGTATTACTCACCCAGCTGATGTCAGAAGACAGTAATAGTTGAATTCCAGATTTCTAAAAATCAGCATTACCTAAAATCTTCCTTGCAGTGGCTATTGGGAAAAAAACAACACAACCAAAATTAAGACTTAAGAAAAGCTATGATAGCTGAAGAGTTTAGCTATTCCATTTGTAAGTCAATCCTTCCTTCAGTGATGAAATTACTGTAGTTCTAATTTCGATATAATTGAAAGTGTCATACTAAAAATCTTGAAACACAAATTTGTCCTAACACATTTGATCAAATTATGTTCCCTTTCCATTTCTCTGTACATAATTCTTTGGAAAATGCTTGCTCATATAGACTAGTTAGCCAATTCATGTCAAAAGGAAGCAAATGTTAAGTGCAATTTACTACTGAATCAGGAGAGGGAGTCTAAGAACTCTGAAAATCACATTCAGGGGGTGGAGTTATTGCCTTTGGCTGCTCCACCCTCACTTTGTGTCAGCAGGTAGAAAGTGCTTGTAGTCCTAGGGGAGGGAAGCCAAGAGCACAAGCTACAAACTACTTTTGCCTTCCAGGAGCTAAGCCAGTTGTGATTTTCGGGAAAGAAGACTTTTTCAAGAGCTCTGCAGAACTTTTCAAGTTCACTTCATCCCACTGGGCCGTTTTGCCTTTGAAGAATGATTGCATTGTGTTTTTCATGCAGTCTTCTGATGGATATCTGCTGTTTCAAGCAACTGCCATCCTGCGTACTGTTTAGATATGCCTACTATGTTTGCTGAAAGAAGGAGCGACTACTCAAATTCAAAAGGAGTTTCCAGAAATTTTCCTGGATTTTTAGCAAGATTTTTAAGTTGTTTTTGGAAACTAGATTTCAGCCACGCCTGACTCACAAGCCTTCAGCCGAGAGTCAATTTTTCTTTCTGATTCAGACTCTGGAATTTCACATTTACCTGTATAAAGAGTTTCTGTGAGTTTTCCCTACTTCCCTTTCCTTACCTGAAATTTGTAGGTAAGATTCAGAATACATTTTGATAATTTAAATATTTTGTCCAAGATTTTTCAAAAAGCTGCTGGGTTTTTTTTCTCATGGATTTTTAGAGGCACAACTATGTAACAGGTTTGCATACCCATTTAAATTTATTTTTTCTTTCTCTGATCAGTTTAACTGATAAATTTCTGCAGCTTTTCTAAAGCTTTAATAACAAGCATGTTTTTTGTTTAATTGTGTTAATTTGCATTTAACTTCTAAAAGGAAACACATTCTGAGATTTGCACAGCTATGAAATAAAACACAGGTGTATCTGTAGTTGTTTTTCCTGTTTTTTTAGCTTCCAAGTTCTGGAAAACATCTGAGAAATGCCTTTTTTATTTCATAAATTTGGGGAGCTACGGACTATATTTTCTGTATTAAAAATGACAAACCGCTGGAAAATTCCAACTTAAAAATTTTTAATTCAACAAAGTGAGTAAGGCATTGGAGGAGGCATTGGAGGCATGCAAATATGAATAAAAGATCAAACAGATGACAATGAGTAAGAAAAACCAGGTTTGCATTCAAATTCCTAAATGCAAGTACATGCATGGTTACTCTGTGCTTTAATGTGTGGCATAAATAGAAGCAAAAGACAAAAGTAGTTGGCATTAACAGAGAAAAGAATATATGAAAAAAGCAATTCACTTTTCAGGAGTCATCAGATGACCTTAGCAGCCCTTGTTATCAGGTTTGGTCCTGTTTGCCATCCTAGGATCTAAAAGCCTGAAAGGATTTGAGAAGCTGATATTGTCTTCCATGGGGAACTGTCTAAAATCAGGTATAGCAGAATTCCTAGAAGAAACCAAGTGCTCTTCATACCATATGCTATTCATACCCCATTGGTTTTTCTCACCATGTCTGAATTTATCTGGAGGAGGAGGAGGAGGAGGAAGACCTGATCTGGGGTTCTTATAATCTTGTGAAGCTCAAGGATTTTACAAACACGTGGCATGAAGAAACTTTGAGAAAAGGGGGAGAGGAAAGCCTGGAAGAAGCTCCAGGTAACTACCCTTTGCTTCTTGTTTGCCCCATTGACTGCAGTTGCAGAGGGCTATAATCCTCAACAATTTTACCAGTTGTTGGAACCTGCTGGTGGGGTGAGGACACATTCCTGAGCAGTATGTGTGGCCAGAGCACACTGCTGCAGCTGGGAGCATGAGTGTTGGCCCCCAGCTACAGCTGGCAGTCCTCTGGCCTTGGCTGCTAATGGCTATGCTGCAGATACGACTAGGCTACTCGGGACTGGCACTGGTGGCAGCAATGGAAGCCGAGCGGACTTTGGCCCAGAAGGCAATAATTCGGGTAATTCCTTTCAAACTGGAACCCCTCACACTGGAAGGAGTCTTTGCTAGCATTGCAGAGATCACCCCTGCTGAAGGCAAACTGTTGCAGGTAAGCAAATCTTTATTCTGTTGCACTTGTTCACTCCCATGCAAGATCTGCTGGCCACAGTGGTGTTTTATTTTGCTTTGTAACTGAAACCATCAAGTAGAACTGCCCACCTTATAGCTTCACAAAGCTTTCCTCATTGTATCCCTTTTTATAGCTATTCTTCAGCTAAGCAAACACAAATGAATGGGCAGGTGCACATTGTTGTTCCCAGGAACATTTTAATTTTATTCTGTATGAATGAAATACAAAGGCATGAACTATCAGAGGCACTCTCATTGGACCCATGATTTTGGTTTTACGCTTTTATGCTTATTTTACATAAAAAAATCTGTTCACTTGGTTCCTTTTAACCATAAGGAATATATCAAATTGGATATTTCCACATGTTACTGATCTTACCATGCCTTTCAGAAAGTGCTTCAAGTGACAACCAAGTCTCTTCTTTCCCACAATGACTCAGGGATGTCAGTCTCTTACTTTGATCAGAGAGATATGCTTGGAGGAACCTTCCATAGTTTGAGCAAGAAGAACCAAATGGAAAGACTGAATGAACTTCTCTGTTGTAAAGTTCAGTCTATTGTGATGAAGTGCAGTTGCTGGCCTGACTTCATGTGCCATCTTGTCTTGCAACCTGTGACTCACCTTGCAGGGTCCTCACATGACTTGAATTCATTGTTCATAAGCAGAATGGTGCAAATTTCAAGCAATGTCATATTATACAAAATGCAGATAATTAAGTAGCTGATGCCTTCCAGTAGAGTGAAATTCAGGGTGAAATTAAAATAGCAAGGATGTTGGAACTGTTGATTAGAATGAATCAATCAGTTTCAGGATACTCTGCAGGGGGATGGAGAGAGAAAAGAACTTGAAGGTGTTATTAGGGATTAATGAATGGTCAGAGTACGTTGTATCAAGACACTGCAACTGTTCTGGTTGGTTTCTCCTGTGAAGTTAATTCAAATTACAAGGCAAACATACATTGCATACTACTTTTGTATCTTATCGTTTAGGAGCCCACTGATAGCTCATCCAGTTTGCAAGCAAACGATCCCCAATCATGTTCCTGATATATCCATTTCAAATGATCTCAATTGGAACTGAAAAAAGATTCCCCACCTGAGAAAGCTCCAGTAGAAAAAACTGGGGACATCCTCTGACTACATAAGGCAACTCTGTTCATACGAACATGTGTCTTTTTTGAAATAGACATAATTTAATGACAAGATTTCTTCCTAGGATGACAAATTTATGAACTACATGCTAACAAAACCTATTAAATGTATGTGAGTAACAAGGAAGGAATAATCTCTGCCTTAGATCTTGTAATCTGCTACCACCGCATAAAACAGGCTCATGTGCTATTTTTGAAAATATAATCATAGTGTGTGTCAGGAAAAGTAGTCTTTCATATTTGCAATGTACATTGTGGCCTCAAGCTGCCAGTGATGTCTACAATGTAAGTCCTGATTCTAAATCCTTTTCTAGATAATTCTGAGCAAATCACAATCATTCTGTTCCCAAAGTGTATGAATTAGAAACACACTGTAACAGATCTTAAAATAGAACTTCTCCAAAAAGCAAAAGTCAGAATAAGGTATATTTTCTTGTGCATGCCATTTCAAATTTTAAAGGGCTTAAGTCAAAAAATTAATAGAGATGACATTTTCTGACCCCTTCAGTGCTGTACAATTATAATTATTCATGATTTTATATCATACTTTCCTACCCAATCTCTTCCCAAGAGTTCCATATGCTATTATTGTAAATAGTATTTTTTTTCTTTTATCTCTATAACAAACCTGTGAGGAAAGTTAGCTTGAAATGGTGACCAGCTTGAGGTCATTTAAAATTACAACACTTCATAGTAATAGCAGTATCTTCTGTGTGCACAGCAATTTACAGAGTGGAAGAGGACAGTCCCTGCTTAACCAAGGCATGCAGCATACCCAAATAGAAAAACAAAAGAAGTAGAGGAAGTGACATAATACGGAATGTTTCAAAATGCATTTTTTTAGGTTTAATTACAGGGTTAGGTTACAGTAAGATACAAAAAGGAGAAAATTTTATTAACTTTTTAAGTCCATATTGAGAATGCTTTAGTTTGTGATGTAATACTGTAATAGAAAGTGGAAGGAATTTCATATACCTATAGATCAGCATCCTTAACTCAGCCGGTTAAAGTCTGTCCATTTGCTACAGTCTGCTCCACCTAATTGTAAGGCAATCTGAATCTGTTTTCTGGGAAGTACATGGGCCATATTCAATGCTCTGATCAGTTTAGATGTATCTATGGCCTCAAATTTGTATAGTTTACCATGAATAATTCTAAAAAAATATCATGACTATTGTTTAACATGTCTTCAGAGCAGTTTACAAAAGAAGATAGATTATGCACCAATCCTAAAATTACTAAAAATGACAATGTATTACTAATAAAAAGGGAAACTGCAATGCTTAAAGGAAAAAAAATTGAAAGGCAAAAAAAGTGTTTCAAGTGGGGTTATTTTTGGAGAACTATTGTGCCACAATTGTCAAAATTCTGCTTTATAGGTTGATAGTTGCATTATTCATTTGATCGTAACTCAAGATCATTTTGGACTGCATAAGTGAAAGCAAGTAACTTGAAGAAGAAACAAATAGCTGAACCAGCTGAGCAGTTATTTTGTAGATACAGATTTCCATTTCCAGATGTTTCAAAGCAAACAGCTACTGTTTTTCAGGTTAAGTGAAGTTTCTGAGATGTTTTTTAGGGGTAGCTCCACTGAAAACACTGTCATATTGCATCCTGGACGTTACATGTAAGATTATCCCAGAGTAGAGGGCAATTGATTTGGTGAATGCAGGGGGTGTCCTTTTTGTATCAGAAGAGGAAGATGTTGTTATGCAGGCACTTCTTCTGAGTAACCAAACCCTGGTACAGTTTGAAAACAGACTTGCTGAAGGTGGATAATTTACAACTGCCAGATTGAAGGATTTTATTATATTGACCAGTTGCTTGTGTGGAGAATTAATAGTTTAGCTTGGTGCGAAGGCAAGTGTCAATGTGGTTAAGGAAAAAGAGAGATGTCTGCCATTTCACTGGGCAACTGGCATTAATAGACTATCTCCCAAATCAGATGTTCCTCATGGAAAAGGCAGAAGAGTGGAAGGTGGGAATGGCAAATGCTCAAGTTATGGTGCATTTAGAAACAGAAGGGATCCCAGTAGGTAATCAGCTACTGGAAGTTGAAAGCTCAATAGGGGAGTGAACTGACAATTGAGTAAGGCTACAGGGAAAAGAATAGGGGAAAATATCTCATAGTCTCTAGATCAGTAACGCAATATCTTTGAAATAACACACACACCCCATTTGCTAATCTGGAGACAAAAGAAATATCTGCAGAATGTAATGTGGCCATGAACCTGAGACTTGCTAAGAGTCAGTTATAGAAATGGACTATGGGGCTTATCCATCTTCATGCAATCAACATTCAGATGGTCCCCAGGAGAATCAGTAGCTGACCATTAAAGGAATGAAAGTTCAAGTGTTGCTATCTGTAGAAAGGAGTACAGAGCAGAAAAGGAATTGAGATAAATAAAAGGAACAGCTGAGAGGAAAGAAGCATAAGGGATGGGATAGGGATTTAAACAGGCTAAATTTGAAGCCCAAATTCTCAATGTGAGTTTAAAACAATATGCAGTGTCATTTTAAGTCAGGTTGGTGGTAGTCCCATGTTATAGTAGACTTAGGATAAAAGAGAAGAGAGAAATTCATAAATCATTTTTGATTATACTGTAGATTTGTGCTGCGTCATAGAAGGTGGTATGTCTTGAAACTGGATAAAATTCCATTTCTTCCAATTTTGTATTTTTTAAAAATATATAGCTTGTGTAGCTTTGTATACATGTGTATACATGTGCAGCTTTGAACTGCAAGCTTTTAGCCAGGAATTAACCTGCAGAATTGGAGGTGTGTATCCTGATGCCAAGACAACCCAACTGTGCAATATAAACTGGACACTCAAAAGGCTGGTTTTTAACAGATATAATAATCCGAGAGAGCTTCATCACTATAGCAACAATATAAAATGTTTTGCCATAGTTTTAACCCAATCCTTTTAATTTCGATGTATTCATGCTTTTCTACCTATCTCAGTTTATACTTTCATTTTGTCATTGCCAAGCCTTTCTTTGAACCCCTTCCCTTATCGTTGTAGCTCATAGAATTTGCATTTTCTTTCTGTGCGATTCTTAGCTCGCTCTCTCCTGTTCTTCCCAACGATTTTTTCTGCCTGTTATACTTTTTTGGGGGGGAAGGGGGGGTTTCCTACCCAGCCCTGCTTTTCTCTCTTCATTCTTCAGTTCTGTAGTCAAAGCATACAGAATTGCTACTCTCCCAGCAGTTCATACTCTTCAATAGGCTATGTTGTGCTATACTGTATAACTAGCTAACCACAACAATTTGGAAGGTCTGGCAGTAACTTCATTATATTTCTAGGGAAAGGAAAAACACATCTTTCTATCCCCATCCTGTGCAAGCCACAGATATTTCTATAAAGAGGAAGAATTATAGGTATTTCAAATTCATCTTGCCATTTTGGTGGCAAGAAGTTGATCTGTAGGAATCAAATGGCATAGGCCCGGTTTATAGATAGTATTTAATTACATTTGTCCTAAATTCCCATGGTTGTTTTTATCAATAAGAAACATGCAACAGCATTTACATGCATTAAATATATGGAAGAGGAGTATTACTATGTCCTTGAGTGTGGCAATAGTTTTAAGATGCTTAATACCTAGCTTTCCTCTCATAGTGCTAGCTTGTTTTAAGCTGATGAATAATGTGAGTAAAACAAAGTTTGATCCAAAAATGTACAATGAAGCAGTACAATCCTCATACAGTGCCATCTTAAAGTTTCATATTTGAGAACTTTCTACATCTCCATGTTATAGAATATGCTATGTGTTGAAATTTTTTTATGTAACTATCAAACGGTACAAAGTCACAGAGGAATAATTGA